CTCGGGACCGTCAAGGAAGGATGCGGGATGAGAAGCCGGTCCCGGGGAAGTTACCAGCTTGGAACATATCCCTATCCCTATGCTGGGCATCTCCTCGTCACGATGCCAATATTAGGGATTCCCTTATCTTTTGAGGGTGCGTCCCTAAGATTGTCATCGCCTTTTGGCGTGTCAATCTTAGGGATAGGGGTAAGTTCGAGGCTGGTAGGGAAGGGGCCCAGACCTTGTGAAAAAGTCACGACGTCGGGGGCCTGGGTATCCCCCTCTCCATTCCGAGCCCCGCCAGTCCACCACCCCAGCTGGTGATGTCCCCCTCGGAACCCGAAGGGAGGACAGCCCACGTCCCCATCGGGGAGGGGGGGGTAAATCGGAAAGAGCGCCAGTGGATCACCTCGTACTTGAAAAGGAGGGGGGTGCTCCCAAAACCTACCCCCCTCCCCCCCTTCAAGGGGGGGGGGGGGGGGACATTTTCGGACCCCCCCCCTTGGCGCTGGAGGCGGGGGGGGGGCGATTTCGGACCCCCCCCTCCCCCCGTTTGGCCATGCAAGGCGGGGGGGGAGGTGGGGACGCTCTCTCCGCTCCGGAGCGCTGGAGCCTGTGCAGAGAGTCTTGTGTCCGGGGCTTGGGGTTAGGGGTGGGGTGGGGGTTAGGGGTCAGGTTCGGTTTAGGGTTTAGGGTCGGGGTTAGGGTTAAGGTTAGGGGTTCGGGTAGGGGGTGGGGTTTCGGGGTTTGGATACGAGTTAGGGTAAGGTGTTAGGGATTAGGGTCAGGGTTAGGGGTTAGGGGTTAGGGTAGGTTTGAAGGGTTAGGGTTAGTTTTTAGGGTTAGGGTCAGGGATTAGGGTTAGAGTTAGGGGCCAGGGTTAGGCGTAAGGGGAAGGGATCGGGTTTAGGGTAGGAGTTAGAGTTAGTGTGAGGGTATTCGGGGTTAGGGGTTAGGGTTGAGGTAGGTGTTAGGGTTAGGGTAGGGGTTAGGGTTAGGGTTTAGGGGTTAGGGTTAGTGTTTTGGGTCGGGGTTAGGGTTAGGGTAGGGGTTAAGGGTTAAGGGTTAGGGTTAAGGGTTATTGTAGAGGTTGAGGGTAGGGGTTAGGGTTTAGGGTCGGGGTAAGGGGAAGGGTTAAGGGTTAGGGTAGGGATTAAGGGTAGGGGTTAGGGTTAGGGTAGGAGTTGGGGTTGGGATTAGGAGTTAGGGTTACGGTTTAGGCTTAAGGTTAGAGGTTAGGGTTAGGGGTTACGGGTAAGGGTTTAGGGTTGAGGTTAGGTTCGCATTAGGGTAGGGGTCCAGGTGAGGATTAGGGTTAGGTCCGTGCTAGGGTTCAGGGTAGATGTTAGGGTTAGGGGTTAGGATGGGGGTTAGGGTAGAGGTTAGGGTTAGGGTAGGGGTTAGGGTAGGGTTGATGGGGTTAGGGTTAGGGCTTAGGGTTAATATTAGGGATTAGGGTTACGATTGGGGGTTAGGGTAGAGTTTAGGGGTTAGAGTTAGGGCATAGGGTTGATGGGGTCAGGATTCGGGTCAGGGTTAGGGGTGGGGTTAGGGGCAAGTGGTAGGGTTCGGGTTAGGGGTAGGGGTTAGGGTTAGTGTCAAGACTCCCTCCCCGCCCGCAAGCCGTCTCGCTCACTCCCACCCGCCCTCCCAACACATACGTAGCACTCGAGCCTGGCCCGAGCCGCAGCAGATTCAGCAGCCGTCTTTGGATCGACAGCTACTGGAGGCCAATGCGCCGCCGCCGCCGCCTACGCCGCGCCGCCCGCCGCCGCCGTCCGCGGCCGCCGCCGCCGCGCCGCCCGCCCGCCGCCTCCGCCGCCGTCGCCCCCGCTCCCGAATCGCCGCCGCCGCAGCCGCTGCCGCCGCAGCCGCTGCCGCCACCACTGCCGCCGCCGCCGCCGCCGCCGCCGCCACCGGCGCCGCCACCGCCGCAGCCGCCGCAGCCGCTGCCGCTGCCAAGTGTATTTATTGTTTTTTGACAGGGATGGTGGGGGGAGGCCGCATCGGGTTCGCTGCTCATGCTCCGAATTTGGAGGCAGAGTGTGTTGTGTATTGTTTTATACAAGGAATGGTGGGGGCGGGGCCCGCATGGTCCCTGGTTGGCTCCCAGTCGCTTGGGGGAGGGGGTGTATATCAAGCTAGGTGCGCTCGCGCCATATCTGACGTCCTACCCCTCCCTCCCATCCCTTACCATGGCGCTGATTTTCTCTATCCGCGGACGCGTGTCGTAGCGGACCTGTGGCTCCGCGCGCGCGTGCGTAGTGGGTGGTGGTGCGCGTGCGTGCGTGCGTGCGTGCGTGTGTGCGTGGTTGTGGTGGTGGTGTGGTGGTGCTGGTGGTGCTGGTGTGGTGGTGGGTGCTGGTGCTGGTGGTGCTGGTGGTGCTGTGGTGCTGGTGGTGCTGGGTGCTGGTGGTGGTGGTGTTGGTGGTGGTGGTGGTGGTGGTGGTGGTGCGGCGCGGTGGTGGCGGGCGGATGGGCGCGCGAGAAAGAGGCCCGCGCTGAGGCGAGAACGCCATCCTGAACGACGGAGGCCAAACACCGATCCGAAAATGAGGCCCAACGCTGCAGCGGGAGCACGATTCGGAACGATTCGGGAGCAGAAATGAGGCCGGCGCCTCAGCGAGAGCAGCACGTTGAAAAAAAACGCAAGCGAAAACCCGTTTCCCGGGAATCTCGTGTGTAAAATTATCCCAGCGCGACCTTACATGGGAGTTGGAGCCCCTAGGAAAGCAGCATTAGTACGAACAGTAAAGCTAAAGCTACGCTAAAGCTAAGTTAAACCTAAACTAAAGCTAAGCTAAAGCTAAGCTAAAGCTAAGCTAAGCTAAGCTAATCTTAAGGTAAGCTAAAGCTAAGATGAAGCTAAGCTAAAGCTAAGCTAAAGCTAAGCTAAGGCTAAGCTAAGGCTAAGCTACCGCTAAGCTAAACCTAAGCTAAAGCTAATGTGCATATAAGCGAAACCTAAGCTAAAGCTAAGCTAAAGCTACGGTAAAGGCTAAGCTACAACTAAGCCACAGCTAAGCTAAAGCTACGGTAAAGGCAAGCTAAGCTACAACTAAGCCACAGCTAAGCTAAAGCTACGGTAAAGGCTAGGCTAAAGCTAAGCTACAACTAAGCTCAAGCTAAGCTAAAGCTAAGGCGCAGCTCAGCTAAAGCCAAGCTAAAGCTAAGCTAAATCTAAGGTGCAGCTAAGGTACAGCTAAGCTAAAGCTAAGCTAAAGCTAAGCTGAAGCTAAGCTGAAGCTAAGCTGAAACTAAGCTAAAGCTAAGCTAAAACTAAGCTAAAGCTACAGCTCAAGCTAAGCGAAAGCTAAGCTAACGCTAAGGTGCCGCTAAGCTAAAGCCACGCTGAAGCTAAGCTGAAGCTAAGCTAAAACTAAGCTGAAGCTAAGCTGAAGCTAAGCTACAGCTAAGCTAAAGCTAAGCTAAAGCTAAGCTAAAGCTAAGCTAAAGCTAAGCTAAAGCTAAGCTAAAGCTAGAGCTCTCAGGGGACTGGCGGAACCGCGGGGCGGGGACTGGGGGAACCGCCCGGGTCGCTGTGCATTGCCCGGCCCTTTAAGCTAAGAGAGTAAGGGCCCTTCTAGGCAGAGCCTATGTAGGGAAAACAATACGCGGGGGGGTGTCGGATATCTTCGGGACGTCATCAGCGGGAAGCGGGCTAGGATCAGGGGCTAGGGTAGGGGTTCGGGTTCGGGCATGGGTTAAAAGTTTAGGGTTAAGGCTTAGCGTAGGGGTTCAGGTGGGGATTAGGGTCTGACTTAGGGGTTTGGGTAGGGGTTTGGGTAGAGGTGAAGGTTAGGCGTAGGGTAGGGGTTAGGGTTAAGAGTGAGGGGTTGGGTTTGGGGTTAGGGGTAAGGGCAGGGATTAGGTTTGAGGTTTAGGCGTGGTCAAGTTAGCCAGCTCGAACGAGCCAGAGGGCTCCGTCCACTCCCACCCGCCCCCCCACAACATAGGCAACAACTGCGTCGCGTCCGACGCCTGTCGTTCATCTTATATCGTGGGCGGCTAGACGTTCAGCGCGCGACGCGAGCTGCGTCCTACTCCTGCCGCGTATTGAGCAACGTCGACGAGAAACAAGACCGCGCGCGATGTACGCCGCGCCCCGCTCCGGCCTCTCATGTTGCATCGTCGGCTACAACATGTCCAGCGCGCGAAGTGCGCCGCGTCACATTCCAGCCACGCGCGCCGGCGGCGAACCGCACTTGCTTGAAGCATTATGATTTGCCGCCCGCCCAGCTCCTCAACCCGACGGGCCGCAGCGTCGACGACAAGAAAGTCCATGTTGACGAGCAGGCGTCCCCGCGCGATGTGCGCCGCATCCCATTCCCGATGCGCGATTCGCAGCGCCGACGAGGAGAAAGTACATGTTGGCAAGGAAAACGTCGACGTTGCATGGTTTTTTTGACAGGTAGGACGGGGGGTCCCGCGCAGGGTTGGCCAAGCGTCTGCGCGCGATGTGCGCCGCGCCCCATTCCTGCTACACTATTTCGCAGCGTCGACGATAAGATTCTCAATGTTGACGAGGAAAACGTTGACTGCGCATTGTTTTTTGGAGGGTAGGACGCGACCACCCGCTTAGGGTTACCCGAGCGACGTCCATTCCGTACAATCCCTTTACACTTTTCGCAACTCGACGACATCTTGGCGAGAAACAGTGAGTTTGTTTTGTTTTTTGGACAGTTAGGACGGCGGGGTTGCCATCGGCTGGCTAGGTGGGGACGTGGGGGTCATAGGACATACGGATAGGGATAGGGTTTTGGAAGCAGGGGGCGGCGTGGCGAAAGGATGGGAGGGGGGGGGTCCGCATTTCAAGGTCAAAAGCGGGGAGAGGGGTTCGGATCCCCCCCTCCCCCCCTCCCCTTGAAGGAACCCCCTCCCAAAGGGGAGGGGTTCGGGACCCGCCCCCCTTGAAGAGGGGAGGCGGGTCCGCCGGCGACGGATCGGGAAGGGGGGGGAGGGGATTTCGCCGACGATAGAGCGGGAATGGGGGGGAGGGGGGTCCGCCGACGACGGATCGGGGAAAACGGGGGGCTGGTCCCGACACCCCCCCTTTGGGTGATCCAACGGCGCGCCCTCGGTAAATCGGCCAATCGGGCCCAGGCCACGCCAGTGGGGATAGGGATTGGTGAAATGATGTTCAGGACATCAACAGCCAGACGCCGCTCTTCTACGCCATCCGCGAGGGGGACGTCGACGCCTGCGCCTACCTGATACGGCAAAGGTGCGACCCGGACCAGACCGACTACCTCCACCAGTCGCCCTTGTTCTACGCCGCGAGCAGGGGGCCTTCAGAGGAGGAAAAAATACCAGTACCGCTACCCCCGTCCCTCGTTACCACGGCTGGATTCGCTTCGGAATCCGGGTCAGAACGCACCCCGAGAGAGCACCACGGAACAGTTCGCGGTACCCAGACCCCCGACGTCGTGATCTTTTTCACAACGTCGGGTCCCTGCGGTCTGGGCCCCTTCCCCAGGACCGGTTTCTCATCCCGAATCGTTGCTTGACAGTCGCGAGGCGCAGGAATGGTACCCGGAGGCCGAAAGTAGCAAAAACATTTCCCGTCGCGATTTTGTTCGCAACGCGAGGGGGTCTGGGTATCCTGGCGTCGGTGCTTTGTGTGACCCGCTGCAGCCACACGGAGTGCGTGGACATGTTGCTGGCGCAGCGTTGCGAGCACGAGCGGGTGGACGAGAACGGGCAGACCCCGCTGTTCTGGGCGGCCAGCCGGGGCTGCATCGAGAGCATGCTGCGCGCCCGGTGCGACGTCAACCGGCGGGACGCCCTGGGGGACACGCCGGTCTTCGGGGGCAGCGATTTCAGACCCCCCCGGGCAATGAACAAATCATGACGGGAGGTTTTTGTTTTTTTTCGGCCTCTGGGGGTCTGACCGGCCCTCGGGACCGTCGAAAAACGACTCAGGATGAAACACTGGTCCAGGGGAATGGGTCGAGACCTCCAATGGTCGACGCAATGGTTACCAGCCTGGAACATTTCCCTATCCCCATGCTGGGCACCTCCTCATCACGATGCCGATCTTACGGATTCCCTTATCTTTTGAGGGCGAATCCCTAAGATTGTCATCGCCTTTTGGCGTGTCAATCTTAGGGATAGGGATACGTTCGAGGCTGGTAAAATGGAAAAATCATGAAGTCCCTCCTCCTCCTCCTCCTCCTCCTCCTCCTCCTCCTCCTCCTCTCCCTCCTCCTCCTCCTCCTCCTCCTCCTCCTCCTCCTCCTCCTCCTCCTCCTCCTACTCCTCCTCCCCCTGGGATAGACAGGCCTGGGGGTGGTATGCCTCGACCCGCCGTCGCCCATTGCCTCGCCGCTGTAGGGGCCCGATGGCCCCCGCCCGTCCAGAGAGCTGCGGCTTCGCTATAGGGGCCCGATGGCCCCAGCCCGCCCAGAGAGCTGCGGCTTCGCTACTGGGGGCTCAGCGCCGATCTATCGGCGGTGTATCGCCGATTCCAGTTCCTTGGCATCGCTCGGACGTGTGCATTTTTCCTTGGGCGAGGGCCATCGAGGAGCATCCTTGATCATTTGGCGGGAAAACCACGCACGAGACCGACAAAGAAACACAGGGAATGGACGTCCGAGCGATGGCGAGGTTCGAGGCATCCCCCCCTAGGCCTATCCCCCCTCTCGCTGCCCTTCAGGTCTTCTTCGCCGTCCAGAGTGCCCGGGGGAAGACCGCATCGCACAGCGGCGCGGTGGAGCGGATCCGGCCGTGGGGGATTGCAGACCATCGAAGCAAAGGAAGCCTTGACCCTAATAACACGATGAAGACGTGGCCTCACTGAGGTCCCCGTGTTTGCATTAGGGATTCTAATTCTGGAGGATCTGGCTCGGTACATCTGCAGAAAAGACATCCTGTCCCTAATGTTTTTGGCTCTCCTAACATAGGTCCCCTCCCAAAGGGTTAGGGGTCCTTCTTTGGTAAATCAACAGAGGTACAGATGCCGCGACTCCCCAGACGCCGTGGCGACTCTGGAGCTTTTCACCCAGACCCCAGCGTCAGAATGTTGTCATAACGTCGGCCCCCAGAGGTCTGGACCCATTGCCCAGGACCGGTGTTTCGTCCTGAGTCGTTTTTCGACGGTCCCGAGTCCCGAAGGTTCGGTGAGGGCCCCCAGTGGCCAGACATAGCAAGACACCTCCGTCGTGAGTTTTCTCATGACTCGAGGGGGGTCTGGGGTTATCGGCACCTTCTCCTCCGAGGCTGTTGGTGAGCCACAGGGCGGACGTCCAGCTCGCCAACAACAAGGGCGAGACGTGCCTCTTCGTGGCGGCGAAGTGCGGGCTGCCCGAGATGTGCCGGTTGCTGACGGACGAGATGCGCCTGGACCCTGGGCGCTGCGACCGGACCGGCAGCACCGCGCTCCAGGTTCAGGAGGGGGACAAACACACAGACACAATGCATCGTCGGCTCCCGGGAAAATGCGGGAAACTATGGGAGGTGCGGGGGGCGACGAAAACCCAGAGCATAGAAGAGAAAGATAGGGACTCCTGGGATTTGTGTGTGTCCCTGGGTCCCTCTGCAGGTGGCCAAGAACCCCCTCACAGCCGCCGAGCTGCAGAAGGCGGTGTGCAAGCTGGCCGCGGAGCGTACCGTGGGCGAGAACCGGGAGTGAGAGGAGAGCAAGCGGCATGACCATGGACGCTCGGAGCTCCGCGCGGGTGTTTCGGTTCGGCGTTGGGCGCCCCCCGGCGGCGCCTCTGGCGCCGCCCCTGGCGCGCTCCGCGCGCCAGGGCCTCAGCGCGGAGCCAAGAACCCAGACCCCCGACGTCATGATTTTTTCATAGCGTCGACCCCCAGCTGTCTCGACCCATGCCACGGAACCGGCTTCTCGTTCCGAGTCGTTTGTTTGGCGGCCCCGAGGCCTTGTGAGGGCTCCCAGAGGCAGAACACAGCACAGAATTTCCCGTCCTGGTTTTTTCATGGCTCGAGGGGGTCTCGGGAATCCGCGCGGAGCTCCGACAATTTCTGCTTACGCCATGTGCTCTCCCTCTGGAGGAGGTGGAGGGCCTGGCCGCAAAGCTCTACATCGCCGTGCAGTCCGGGACCCTGGAGGAGCTCGGCCCGTGCGCACTGCAAAAGAGGGGGGGGGGGTGCTCCCCCTCCTCCTCCTCCTCCTCCTCCTCCTCCTCCTCCCCCTCCTCCTCCTCCTCTCCTCCTCCTCTTCCTCCTCCTCCTCCTCCTCCTCCTCTTCCCCCTCCTCCTCCTCTTCCTCCGCCTCCTCCTCTTCCTCCTCCTCCTCCTCCTCCTAGTGATCATTACAATGCCCAGCAGAGTGCTCCTCATTGGCCCTACCTGTGACCGTGACTTCCAGTATGCTGTACCTCACACGCTCCGAGGGGGAAATTTGAGCTACCTCACAGGGTACCAGAGTACATATTTGACAACACATGGAGCGACTTTCGGAACGACCGAGAAGTGAGCTGAGTGGGAAAGCAGAGCACGGAATTCAAACTGTAGAGGTAGGACCCCCCCGCCAGCAACAGTTTGGGGTCTCTGGCCTTCCGTCTCTCCCCCCTCTCCTCCTTTTGAGGTCGTGTCGCCGTCTCGTGTCCTTTTGGATTGGCCGCCTTGCACAGCCCGCGCGTCCCCTCCCCCAGGGCACGCGGAAGGGCCAGCAGCTGCTCCCCCCGCACTGACCCAATTGGACTCGTGATGTAAGGTAGCGAGCCAGTCTTACGGGGCCACCTCGGAGCTCTGTCCTTGAGCTACGGGGTATGCCCCCTGCCAGCCCAGGTGAGAAACCAGGGCTGTAGCACAACAAATCGAAAGGTATTTTGGCAATAGCGCGTGGACCACCCGTGCAAGTGCTCTGACGTTACTTTTTTTTTCGGATGTGTTTGTCCTTGTCCTCCTCCTCCTCCTCTTCTTCCTCCTCCTCCTCTTCCTCCTCCTCCACCTCCGTCATCTCCTCCGTCTTCTTCTCCTCATCATCATCCTTCGCCTCCTCCTCCTCTTCCACCTCCTCGCGGGGCGGCCTTTTTGAGGAGAGCGGAGGCTTTTCGGAAGTCCTCAGGCCATCGAACATCAGATCCTGACCTCCTCGGATCACGCAAACATCATGGCGTGATGTTGTTTGTGATTTCCGGCCTGTGGGGTGCCTTACCAGGCAGTTGGAACGTGACAAAACAATTCAGGATCGAAAGCCGGTCCCGGGGAATGGGTCGAGACCCTTGGGGGTCGACCTTATGAGAAAGGTCATGATGTAAGTAGTCTGGGGAGGAGTTGGGACAACGGTGTTTGCCCTCCGGGGGGCCTTTCTGCTCGCCACGGCTGGACGCAGCTCGGAAATCTAGTGCGCTCGGACTCCTGGAAGGGGGTCAGGTGGGTTCGACTGCGGGTTGCCAGTGTGTCTCAACTTGCTCTGCTCCGGGAAGAGGCCCTCTTGGAGGCCTCTAGGCCCTTCTACCAGGAGTCCCTCCTGACTTCTCAGGAAGTCGGCGTCACCCCAACATACTAATACTATGTGTGCGCCGTGTGCGTCGTTCCCCCATGGGCGACAAACGCACCGAGAAATATTATAGCATATGCGTCGTGGCGGGCGCTTTGTGGCCACACCGCTCGGGAAACGAAATACTACAAGATGATGGGTCTATCATATGTTCGGGTCGGATGCGCGCCTCCAAGGAGGACATATCGTACTAGTATGTCTTTGTGCGTCCCAGGAAGGCTCCCCTTCGCCCCACCCCAGGTCAACGACGCCTCCTCACGAACCCCCCCCCCTTTGCCCCCGCCCACGGCCAACGATCGGCTTCTGAGCGGGCGCCCCAACACCCCACACCCCGTCGTGGGGACCACCTTGGCCCGCTTTGAGAGCACGCTCCCGGCCGCAGCCACGCCAGTTCGCGCTCTTGTGCGGCTCCGCGAGGGACTCGCACTTCTTGCCAAGCTTGGCAAGCCGGACGTGAAGCAGCCGCAGCGCTGCGTTGGACCTCCAGGGCCGAGGTTCAGCAGGAAAAAAACGCCTGGACCAGGCAGCCCGGGCGAGGAGCGGCGCGGTAGGCAGCAGCAGTGGCGCCGGCGGGAAGCCGACTGCACGCGCGTGCGCGAAACTGCGACGGCCGCGGGCCGTGGAGGTCACAGGTTATACGAAAAGGCCACAGCGAATCGCGTCGTCCACGTTTTCGGCTGGTCTTCAGCAAAACGTCTTCACGTTGTTGGATGGGCATGGTTCGGGGGGGATGGGCGGATGCGGGGGAGGCGGACGAGTGGACGGAGGACAGAGGAGGAGGAGGACGGAAGAGGAGGAGGAGAAGGAGGAGGAGGAGGAGGAGAAAGAGGAGGAGGAGGAGGAGGAGGAGGAGGAGGTGGAGGAAGAGGAAGATGAGGAAGAGGAGAAGGAGGAGGAAGAGGAGGAGTGGGCAGCCTGGTCTGCTCAGCATCGTAGGGTTGGCCTCCAGCTGTCTTGCCGGCGCGCTGCGCGGCACTAGCGCCCAGGATTGCCGCAGCCGCCTTGTGGCCCACCTGGCCCCGAGGAGAGCCCAGACCGCCTTGAGTCATGGGATAAATAACGGCGGGGGTCTTTCTTACGTGCGTAGCCCCCCGCAGATGCGGATAAGAGTGAGGGGGCGGTGGCGGCGTCGGCAGTGTCCGAGATTCTGGAGAAGCCCGCCGCAGGCGCCAAAATTCTCCAAATTATGCAAACGCCCGCCGCAGACGCCGATTTTGTCTTCAAACCAATGTGGATCGGTCGCGGGTGGGTCGCGGAGTGGGTCGCGGGTGGGTCGCGGGGTGGGTCGCGGGTGGGTCGCGGGTGGGTCGCGGGTGGGTCGCGGGGTGGGTCGCGGGTGGGTCGCGGAGTGTGTCGCGGGGTGGGTCGCGGGGTGGGTCGCGGGTGGGTCGCGGGGTGGGTCGCGGGTGGGTCGCGGGTTGGGTCGCGGGTGGGTCGCGGGGTGGGTCGCGGGGTGGGTCGCGCGGGGTGGGGTCGCGGGGCGGGTCGCGGGGTGGGTCGCGGGGTGGGTCGCGGGGGGGACGACGACAACGCACAACAACAACAACAACAACAACAACAATTACTAGCACGTGGGGACACTCCGTTCTCACCAGTGCCAGGGTTTTCATAGGAGGCGGGCAATACCCCCACTTTGTGGGGGGGCCGGTTCAAGCTCTACCAAATTTCCAAACGACTCTTCGCCACCACCCACACCCAGCTTCCCGCCCTATGACGTTCGGACACTTCACTTCGTGGCATGCGGACGACCGTGGCTACTATTCAGGGCCCCGCGGCCGACGACGACGGCGTGCGCGCGCGAAGAAAAAACGAATGTGTCCCGCATGGTATTATTTGACAGGGATGATGGCCCTGGCAGGTGCGCAGCCGTTGTTGCAGAAGTTCGAAAAAGTTGCTCGCAAAACCCGTTTGACAGAAATGATTAAAAAGTGTTGGGTTTTCTACGAATCCGCAAGAGCGCGCGGGATGAAATTTTGGCATTTTTTTGAAAAAAAAACCATTGTTTTTGATGTTTTTATGTTAAAATCGCTACGAAAACTAAGGTTTTGGAAGGATTTCGTCTTGCGCGCGCGAATGTCCACTTTACCTTGTTTTTTGCAAGGGATTCTTGAAGTTTGGTTATGTTAGAACAAGAAATGTCCACTTTAGGTTTTTTTTCTTGCAAGGGAAAACCGATCGTAACAACACAACCGGATCCGGACTCCCCCGTTTTGCCTGAGACTTCCACACGAAAATGATGAAAATGAGGCTGCGGCCTAGGCGCGGCGGGGGGGTCGTGCACCAGGGGCCCCAACAATAATTATTCTGTAGAAGTAATAATGTTCAACAACAACAACAACAGCAGCAGCAGCAGCGGCAGCAGCAACAGCAGCAGCAGCAGAAGCAGCAACAGCAACAGCAACAGCAACAGCAACATCAACAACACCACCACCAACAACAAACATCATTTCACCAGCATGCGCCATGCCTCCACACGTCACATGCATCCTCTTGGATACCACACCCCATTATGTTTTTTTTTGCGCGCGGGGCCCGATATTCCCTCGCCCAAGTCTCCCGCCCAAGGAAGTATTGCCACCACCTCTTCCGAGGAACCTCGGCATCCACAGTTCGGACGGCACATCGCCATCGCAATCGCCTTGCGCACGCCCCGCATCTCGGAGGAGGAAGAGGACGAAAAGGGGAGCGAAGATGAGCGAGAGGGAGGAGGAGGAGGAGGAGGAGGAGGAGGAGGAGGAGGAGGAGGAGGAGGAGGAGGATGGAGGATGGAGGATGGAGGAGGGATGAGGAGGAGGAGGAGAAGAGGAGGAGGAGGAGGAGGAGGAGGAGGAGGAGGACGGGGAGGAGGAAGGAGGAGGAGTTGTAGTGGAAGTACCTCCGGGGACGAGGTGGTTCTTACTCCTCGTTCGAACTGTTGCGCCATCATCCTGCGGCCTCGGCGCGTGACCCTGAGCGTTCACGCCCCCAGGCGCTGCCGCCCCCATGCGCTGCCGCTGGCGCTGCCGCTCACGCCCCCAGGCGCGTTCCACATGCCCCACCCGCGCCC